TAGCTTTTTGGTCTGAGAAGGTCAGCGAAATGTCCTCAGGATTTATCTTGAGATCCCGTACCTCAGATTATAGAACCTTTGTCAGTGTAGCCATGTGGATGAGTCACGGCCATTGCTTGGCCAATGTGCTCTCTGTGAAAGCCTGAGAGAATGTCTTCTCCCCACATGACTCTCCTTAGGCACACTCTACGTCATCGAAAACTTTCATTTTTATGTGAGCTAGATTTTTTTTTTTTTTTTGACACCTGTGTAGCTCAGACTGGCCTCAAACTTGTGATCTTCCTGCCTCAGCTTCCCAAGTGCTGGCATGATAAGCCTGCCCCAGTAGGCCTGGCTGAATCATGTCTCAATAAAGTCATTACCAAAAACTATGTGTCGCTGGCTACAGGCATGCGGAGGTAGAGAACAGATGGCCCTAAGTGACTGCACTGCTGGGACGGCGCTTACTCCCTGGGAGTGCTCAGGCAGCGGAGCGAGGTATGGAGACACACACAGCAATACCTCGGCTCACGAACGGTTCTGTTCAGGAACAATGCAATTCCCATACAGAAGCTTTTGGAAAAATGTTGCTTCTGTTTGCCAGCTCTGCTTCAGGAGCTGGATGCTAGCTTGGCCTTCTTCCCCAGAATTGTGAAACAAATTAAGTACCAGGTGAACGTGAGGCTTTGCTGCAATGCTACTTAGAACCGAGAGGGGAAGGCTTCTACGTTCCAGACGTGACTCTAAATGCCCTGACGTACAGACTCCTGTGTATCGGTCCTCATATCAAGCAGGGAGGCAGAGTCCATTCTCAGTGGAAATGCTTAGACAAGGAAGCCGAGCTGCCCAGAGGCACCAACGGGGAACAGCCTGGCTTTGAATTAAGATCTTAGCCACTGTAGTAGATGCGGCCCAGCCAGTAAACCTTAGGTAGCCAGGGGATGGGGAGGAAAATAGGTTTTAGGTACTAAGAACTAGGTAGTTTGATGTGGTTATTAATTAAGGCAATGTTTTATAAAGTGTATTGTGCAGAAAGCTAGTTCCACGAGGGATTAATAGATGCTACCTTAGAAGGTCAAATAGGTGGGGGAAGTGATGGGCTGCATAAATTTGCTACATGGTTTCCTAAAGTCTATTATTTATGAGCCCGGCATGGTGATGCATGTCTGTAATCCCTCAGCACTCAAGAGGTTGAGGCAGGCGTATAGCTGTAAGTTCAAGACCAGCCTGGGCTACTTACTGAGTTGAAGGCCAGCCTGAACTAAACAGCAAGTCCCTGTCTGGAAAAACCAAAACAAAACAAGTCTATGCTTTCTATCAATGTGCACTAGGATGCTTCAAGAGGAGACAGAATGCTGCTTCTTATGCAATGAGAAGCATCCTCCTGAAACATCTCTCAAGGCTAGAGTTCCAGGCAGTGGCTTCCAAGCTGCTTTGATTGCCTTTGCCTAATAGGTGTTTATCTACATTTTAGTCGGTCCCTACTTCAGTGGGTCCCAAACGCTACACCCTAGCCCTTCACTTAGACCGTGTGGAAAGTGAAACTGCTATTTGTGTTTTGTTATCTCTTCTCTCTCTAAAATGTAACTCTGAAAGCATGGCTATAATGCATGCGACATGCTGGGCTCTGATGTTCTTTGAGGGCAGGGACACAGGCACCTGCTGCTGTCACACTCACCTTCTGGAGGGGCCTTGGCTTTCGAGGTAGCAGCGGAGGGGCGACGTGGTGAGGGCTGTTGAACGCATCCTCTTCCGTTTTCTCAGAACCTCCAGCGCTTTCTGAGAGAGGATTGTGTGCTGGTGACTTGGAAAGCTCGGGGCTCCTCCCCACTGGCTCAGCAGACAGGCTGTCCAAGGGCCCACACTGTTCCGGCCTGCACTGGAGGCAGGGGTCATATGGGTCTGCCTGACAGCAGCCCCAGGGGCCAGCCTGGCCCTTGTCAGGCTCAGGACTTCTCCAGCAATCTGCGGCCATGGCTGTGGAGATGAGGTCAGGGCTGGAGCCAGGCATCTGTCTCTGAGCGTGGTTGCTGAGCGGGCTCCGCAGGGCCGCTGCAGGGCCGAAATACCTCAGGTTGTTGGCACAGGTTGCAATATCCTGTCCGTGCATACTGAGTCTGGGATGGTGGTTCTGAGCCACGGGCGGAGGGGGGTGCTGGTATTGCTGCTGCAGAGCATTAGGGTGCTGGGGGTGGGCGTGAGGCAGGCAGGGGGGCTGGGGTGAGTGTTCCTGGGCTGGCTGGCTTTTCAATATGGCTGCAAAGTCACTATGGCTGCCCCGACTGTTGCCCCGACGGTGGCGTGGTTTGCTGCGGTATCTGCTCTTGCTACTTGAGCTGGACATTTTGGGACTTCCAGACAAAGGGGACGCGGTGGGAGCCACCTCTGTGCTAGGGATACCTTCAGACCTCAACAGATCTGGCCTAGGAGAAAAAAGCAGGCTTAGTTTTAAACACATGCAAACATGTTAATGTTTAGAGCAATATAATCCAAGTCTTAAGGCACACATACCCTTTGATTTTTTAATTAGTTTTTTTTTTTTTTTTTTTTTTTTTT